TAAGAAAGGCAGATGTTTGATGCAAAACATAACTTTAGCCCTCACACTTAGCTAGCATTCAATCTCTGCACCACACACTTCTGAGATGGATTCCATGGAAACTAAGTTTTCCCTTCCTGCACAAATGCAGGATTCACATAAGCCTTCAGACCTCTGGAAATCAAGTCAGCAGCTATACTGCCTTCAATAGTTTCCTGCTGCCACGCGACATTTATAGGTTCTCTCACAGTCTCTTCTGCAGAAATGGATATTACAATTTGCAATGCTTTCTGCACACACTAGATTGGTTACGCAGTTCTAGTTGCAGCACACAGAGAGGGAAAAATATTGCTCATTATTATGAAATAATCATCTTTTACAAGACAAGTACACTACAGGTCCACCTCTTAAACACTAAGAACTTACTGCAATGGAGTGTTGCTGTCTGAATAGCTCTTCAGATCCAAAGACACATATAAGTATTTAGGTAAGAAAACATACAAAACAACCTTTTATACGCTTAAGTATTACTACTTTCATGGACTAACACCAGAAAAAAAGATCACTTAGAGGACATCAGTTCACTCTTTACTAACAGGTTTGTCCACTGAGTTGATGGCAAGCTGAGTCTCACATCCATTCTTACACAGATGCGTGAACCTGGAAGCTGCTGTGTATGCACACGCCATTCCAACTCACCTAACCTCATTTTTCTGCTCCAGGAGAACCGAGTATTTAACTTCTCCCAGGCCCACACTGAAAACAGAAGCTAGTCATTCCTTATCATCTATACTAGAGCTATTCAGATAAATCTGCCACAAATTATAACCTTGCCCAATCTCCTTTGCTTTCAGTTACACATCACTGCTAAAGCCCTCAAATATGTCTGATTGTACCACCTAGGTAAATAAGTCCACAAACCATTCTGAATTCAAAGATACCTGGCAGTGATGACACCCTGCCTTGTGTATTTCTTGTGAAGGTTGTTCACCTCACTATTATATGTGCACGGCCTGCTACCAATCTGGCTTCAGTCAGCATCTTTACCTCTGCTTATTAAGGCTCTTCAAGCCCAGATGAGTTACACCTCTGTGGTTACTTTTACAGCCTATGTCTGCAATCTTGCCAGATGCAGCCAGGCTTGCCATTACTTTTAGTATGTATCTCCTCTACTACTCAGATTATCTGGTTTATCATTTTCCTAGAAATTTATACTATCTAGTTTGCTGTTATTTACACTTTGCCATTTGTCCTTTACATGTAACCTAAACCTGTACATTGAACAGGCATCTTCCTAGATCTACTACCCATTCCAGAATCTCTCATAAGTTTAACCCACAGCAGTCCTACCCAGACATCAGAAACAAAGCTTGAAAAACCACCCATGGAATTTGTGGGAAACCATAGTTCTCTGTAAAAGAAAGCAGAGCATTATAATTGTATATTCAAAAAGAAGAAAAACAAAGATTAGAGGTGCTGGAACAGACCACAAGACTTTAATGAACACTCCTGGATTATTAAACACTAATATCTTTCTGTGAGAAGAGCCTTATACAGCAATTTTATTTTCTTTCATTCATAATATAAGTACTTCAGTTATGCTACTCCCATTGGTCAAGGAGGATCTGGTCAGAGGTCATCTAGGCAAACTCAACACATACAAATCTATGAACTCCAATGGGATGCACTCACAAGTGCTGAAGAAGCTCGCAGAAGTGACTTAAGCCACTTTCTATTCTATTTCAAAGGTCATGGAGAACAGCAGATGTGGCCAAGTACTGGAGAATAGCCAGTGTTACTCCAGTCTTCGAAATTGGCAAGAATGAGGACCTGGGAAACTACAGACCAGTCAGCCTCATCTCCATCCCTGAGAATGGGATGGAGCAACTTGTTCTGGATATCATCTCCAAGCAAGAGAAAGCACGGAAGGTTATCAGGAGTAGTCAACATGGATTCACCAAGGCAAAATCATGCCTCACCAAACTGGCAACCTTCTAGGAAGTTGCAACTACCCAGGTAGATAAGGGGAGAGCAGTAGATTGCATATCTTGACTTCAGCAAGGCTTTCAACAATGTCTCCCACAACACTCTTGTGAGGTAAGCTTAGAAAATGTGAGATAGATGAGTGGACATCTACAGTGAGGTAAATTGAGAACTGGCTGACTGGTAGAGCTCAGCAGCACAGAGTCTGGCTGGAGGCCTGTAACTACTGGTGCTCCCCAGAGGTCAGTACTGTGCCCTGCCTTGTTCAATATCTTCATCAGTGACCAGGTTTAAGGGAAAGAAAGCACTCTCAGCAAGTTTGCCAATGATACAAAGCTGGGAAGAATGACTGACACACAAGAAAACTGTGTTGCCATTCAACAAGTCCTGGACAGACTGGTGAGTTAGGTGGAGAGGAATCTAATAAGGTTAAGCAAGGGCAGGTACAGAGTACCACAGCCAGGAAGAAATGACTGCATGCATTAGTACAGGTAAGGAACTCTGGAAAGAAGGACCTGGGCAGCTTGTGGACAACAGGATGGCCATCAGCCTGCACTGTGCCCCTGTGGCCAAGGTCAATAGTGTCCTGGAGCGCATTACAAAATGCGTGGCCAGTAGGTCAAGAGAGGTGATCCTCCTACTCTGATCTGACCTGATGAGGTTTCTTTTGGACTCCCATGTTCAAGACAGGGAACTTAGAGTTCAGTGGAGGGCTATAAAGATGATTAAGAGCCTGGAGCATCTCTCTTCTGAGGAAAGGCAAAGAGGCCTGGAACAGTTCAGTCTGGAGAAGACCGAGATTACCAATATCTAATGTTCAGGAATGAAGCCAGAGGTGGGCAGGCTCTTTCAGCCCATTGACGGGACAACAGATTGTGACCACAAACAGGAACACAGGAAGTTCCATCTGAACATGAAAAAAACCTTGTGGCAAGGTGAGGATAAGCACATCTGCCTCTTCAGAAAGCTAAGACTTCCTGCATGGCATGTATACTCTCTCTCAAAACCAGAAGGAATGTGGTTGCAGTATGAGTACTCTGTTTTTTCTGGGGAATCATCCTATCTTACAGAAGTGCAGGCTGCTTATTCAAAGCGAATTTTAGAACCAGCAGCATACATTTATAATCACAGAAGCTGGCAAAGAGGGTTACTTGAAACAGATGTTATTTCCATTTTGCAGATTGAATCAGTTGGCCTAAAATATAAAGATAATAGTAGTAAATCCTGTTCTACATAAGAACAGCAGTTGCACTTGGAATAGTTTTGCCCCAAGCAAAGCAGTTATTTTTCCTACAGCGTAAGGCTGTTGGAAGTATTTGCCTGAGAGCACTTGGTCTGAACACAGGTAATTGACAGAAGAGTGAATACACTGAGACTGTAACTTTAATGATGGTTCACTTCCGAGAAAGAAGTTGCTTCCAGTCAGGAGCTACCTGTAAAGTGACAGACTGTGTAATAAATGCTAGTGTTTTAATATCTTGTCATCATCATGACAAACTGATACATTGGTAATTCCACCTGGACAGGATATAATTTATCACGTTGTTGCAGAAATGTGTTACCACTCAATTCAATCCTTTTACATACTTAAACATGCACCCACAGTTAATTTAAATTGGTAAGTTCAGCACATACTTAGAATTCCTGTGATGAGACTCTAATGCTGAAGTTTCACAAGCCAATTTACAAACTGCAGAAAAACTGATTTTCAACACACACACACACCACAACAAAAAAAAATGTACTTAAAGAAAGAGGCACAGTACTTACAACAGCAGAGCTACTCTAGCCTCTCCTAAGCCTCCCCTGTAACCTGAGTTCCTGCACCTGGAACCTTCCCAGCAATGTTCCTACAGTGTTTTTGTAAATATTTGTAGAGAACACTACGAAAGACAAGAGAGCATTTGCAGCCAAGCCAGTGGCTGCAGAGCTTGCTTCAGCTGTCAGCTGGAGACATAAATGTCCAGGGAAGTGTTGTGCTGTTGTAACACAGGACTTTGAACAACCTCACCTTCAGCAGTGAACAAGGAGGTGAAGAAGTTAGAGCATGGCTTTTTTTTTTTTTTTTTCCCCAGTAAGGAAAGCAAGGAGTACTCTTTTTCTGACACAAATTTTTCCTGTAAATATATGTTAGATAAAGACCTCCTCCAGCAGTTACAGCCAAAGCCTGTAGCAAGCACTGAAGTACGCAGATTTGCAGAGGATTAGTAACACATAAAGAAAACCTCTTCTAATGTTGTACACAGTTACAGCTTATGCAGACCTTAGAACAGCCTGTACCCTGCTCTCGAGATCTTACCAACTAATTAGTCCTCACATGCCAAAACAAGCACGATGCTGGTACACAGCCTGACTTGTGCAAAATTGTCAAGGGGCAGTGAGCGACTGTAGGAAAGGAGAGAGGAAGAAAAAACCACTACAACCACACCTGGAACACTCCCTGCCACTCACACTGCAGCACCAGGAGGCCAAGCAGCCCTCAATAGCCTTTGGCCCTGGCCTGCTGTCACCCCAGAAGCTGAGCTGATACAGTGTGATTATAATCACAGTACGCTCTGAGAACGGGCGACACAGTCCATGTTCCTCCACAGCACATCTACTCTAAGACATACCAGAGTACTAGCAAAAGACAGGTTTTGGGTTGGATACTATGAAGAACTGCTTCTCAGAATGGTGATGCAGGGCAAAGGCTGCCCAGAGAGGTGGTAGAGTCACCAACTATGGAGGTGCTCAACACCCACGTGGATATGGCACTGAGGGACGTGGTGAATGAGCATGGGGAGGGTGAGCTGATGTCTGGACTCAGTTATCCTAGAGGTCTTCTCCAACTCAGCGATTCTATGACTCCACGACACGCCCCAGAGCTTGTCGGCGGGGTAGGCATCCACAGGCACCGCCACGGAGGCTCCTGCCCCGCACACAACGATCCGCACCACGCACAAAGGCCTCCTCCATCCCAGCAGCTCACCCAGACGAACGCCTCCCCGGCCCCATTTCCACAGCCAGCCCCGGAGGGCAGGGCCGGGCCCGGCGCTCACCTTCTCTTTGGCGGGCGCGGAAGCCGCCAGCTGCTCACCGCCGCGGCCGAACTTGCCGCCGTCGCCGATCTCCACGCGGATCAAGCGATGCCGAGGGGAGATGTACCGCACCTCGGGCGGCGTGCCGGGCCGCCGCTCGCTCTGGCTGCGGGCGAGCAGCGGGGAGCCGGCGGGCGCGGAAGCGGCGGCACCGCACGAGGCGGAGGAGAAGGCGCGGGGGGCGGCCGGGCCCGGCTCGTCTGGCGCGCAGGGCTCGGGCCGGCACAGGGCGCGCAGCTTGCGCAAGGAGGAGCCGGGCCCGCTGTAGGGGTCCTCGAAGTCGCGGTCCTTCTGCGCGCGGTAGGCGCGGAGCAGCTCGCTGGTGTCGTCGCGCAGGTGGCGGTGCGGGAAGCCGGGCGAAGCGTGGTGCTGGTGGCGGTGGAGGTGCGGCGGCCCGTCGGGGCGGGGCGCGCCGCCAGCACCGTTGCGCTTCTCCCGATAGTCGGGCCGCGGAGGCTGCGGGGGGCTCTTGGTCTTGTTGTTGCCCAGGCTGAAGTACTTATTCAGCCATTTAGCCATCGTCCCCGCCGGCCGCGGCCCCTCAGCGCCTAGCGCCGCCCCCGCCCTCCGCCGCCCGCATGGAGCAGCTGGGCGGCGGGGCGGGCGGGCCGGTCGCCCCGCTCCGCTCCGCGCACCGGCGGCTTCCCCGCCGCCGAGACGCCCCTGCTCCCCGCGGGACGCAGCCGCTCCCGGCCGCGCCGCAGCTCCGCTCCCGCGAGCGCCGCCGCCGTGCCTGCACCACAGCCCGGCCTGACCTCAGCACGCAGCGGGGCGGGGGACGCGGCTGCGCGGGGCGGGGCGGCAGGGGACGGGAGGGCGGGGCGGGGCGGGGCTGCCCGAGCCTTTGGGAGGAGCGCGGTCGCGGTAGGGAGCCGACCCTGAGTGGGGTGGGGCGAGTGTCATTTGCAGCGTGACAGTCACCGCAAAATGTTGCCATTAGGGGGGGACATAAGGGTTATAGAATCAAAGAAATATTAAGGAAAAGACCTCTAACTCGCCGAATCCAACCGTCAGCCCACCCCACCATGCCCACTGACCACATCCCTCATTGCCACATCTACGCGGTTCTTGAACACCTCCAGGGACCGTGACTCCACCAGCTCCACGGCCAGCTTGTGCCATTGCATCGCTACTCCTGAGGAGAAATGTTTCCTAATATGCTACTCGAACTTCCCTGGTGCAACTTGAGGCCATTCCCTCTTGTCTGTTGCTCAGGGCCGTGCCCACTGTCCTGTGCAGCCCATTCCATGCCAACCACCCTTTGCTGCAGATTCTTTCCCTGACCCCCAGCTGCCCTCCCCTGACGCAGCTCCATGCCGTTCCCTCGGGCCCTGTCGCTGTCACACAGAGCAGAGCAGAGCTCAGCGCTGCCCTCTGCTCCCTGTGAGGAGCTGCAGCCGCCATGAGGGCTCCCCTCAGCTCCTCTGCTCTGAGCTGAGTGCACAAAAGGTCAGCATCTTCTCCTTCACCATCTTTGTAACCTTCCTTTCTGTGCTCTCTCACAGTTTCATGTTCTTACATTATGCCGCCCAAACTGACCCAGTGCTCAAGGGGAGCCTGTACAGCATGGAGCAGAGTGAGGCAGTTCCTTCCCTTGTTAGGCTGGCAGTGCTGGACCCGAAGCAGTGTAAGGTCACCACCATTATTGCCAGCAGCAGCAGCAGTGTCCCTCTGGGAGACCTCATCCCCCACGATGAGGCAGGAGGCATGGGCCCTCTTCCTCTCCCAGGTGGGCTGAGGCATGGATCCTCTGTCTGGAGAAGCTACAGTCCTGCAGCCAGGGCTGTTCTCTCCTGCCACTTTCCTCGGTTTGAGCCCTGAGCTCACAGCCCCACTGCCTATGTGTGCTGTTCCCTTCCATGACACAGGGGTCTTTGACCATGTCCCCAGGGAAGGGCACCAGGCCCTGCTGCTGGCTAGGGATGGTGCTGCTAAGCAAAGAGGACATAGTGATAAATGTCAGTAGATGCCTTTCCCAAGTGAGTTCCTATATATGTGCTACAGTGAGTTGGAGATGATATCTGCATGAATCACACTGGTTTATTTTCAGGAAGGTTTTTCATGTGGGCCACTGTTGTGATCGGTTAATATTCTTTGCTGTAACTTTCTCCATTTGCCCAGACAATTAGCAGGCTCTCCCAAGATTCTGAATTGCTGTGTTAGTCTCATCTTCGTACCTATCACTGTACAATACCTATTGCAGTAATTATTTGGTCTGGTCTTGAAGAAAGCTGAAGGCGTTGAATGGATGTTCAAGTGAAGTTATGAACATCCTTATGCTGATTCCCCTAGCCCCTCTAAGCCTCTACAACAAGAAAGAAGTTAAGATCAAAGAACATTCCAGGTGGGACCTAGTGCTACAATTGTGGGAACTAATCTGGGACATTGTCTGCTCTGGGTAGGTAGGATTCAGCTTACAAAATGGTGAAAAAGTCCCCAGTAATTACATCTTTGGGAGGCTTCCAGCAGCCAGGATTCAGACCACCAAAACAAGCACTAAGAAGCTGGTTCTTCATTATGCCCTTTTGGGATAACCATTACCACCTCTTCAGCTCAAATCAAGTTTATGACAAGGTTTTCAGATCCATGCTTTCATGTGAAGGACCGGCTCCCTGTTGCTTTACCAAGTCCATTAATGCAGAGCAATGGACAAGTGGGGAATCTGCAGCTCAGGATTTCTGTTCTTTTGGTAGAGGACAAAGCTCTGATGAAGACCTTCCCAGACTGAAAGGAGCCATGGACAAGTTGCTTTCTGCACAGAAGGGTGGCTTGAAACTAGACCCCCTTCCAAAGACAGGAAAGGCAATGTTATGCAGGGATGTAGGCTAGTCATGCTCTACACTATTACCATTAATCACTTGGGCCCTCTTTTTATCTTGCACTTTATATCTTTTAAGGGGGAGAGAAGAGAAAACCCTATCTGCACAGGATTACAAGTCAGCTGTGTAGTGCTCTGCTTGCATTTTTGCATTCTTGAAGTCCAACATCACAGTCATACCTGCAATATATTACTGAAGGCAGAACAAAGTAAATTGTGTTCATAACTTCATTAGCGATAGAGTTTCACATGATTTTTTCCTCGGGTTTTGTGGGCCATTTTAACCTTGTTCTTGGCACATTCACACAGCCTTATTCTCTTTTAAATGCCAGAAAATTTCTTGGGCTCAATCACCTTGCTCAGACTAAGCCTGAATATAGTCTATATAGTTGTATAGTCTATATAGTTGTCACCTTCTGACAGCAGAGCTCCTCCATTTCCAACGTAGGGTAAAAATGACCATAGTTTTTCATAGAACAGCCTTCCTGACTGAAATAAACACTGAAAGGCATCCAGCATTTTACCTGGTGACAGCCAGGGTCCCTCAGAGGGCTGAAAAGCTCCCAGGATTGCTATTTCTAGGAATGGCCCTTATGAAAGTGTGAGTTTCTGTCCTGAAGGAAGATGAGCTTCAATTTCTTTAAAACTCCAAGGACCTCATTGCTCAGAAAACCGGCTTCTTAATTCCTGTTCTGCCAGTCTTTCCACCAAGAATTTGGCTCCAGTATGGGTGCATGGGAAAGGCAGGAAGGTCCTAGGAGTACCACAAGCTCAGTCCAACAGCCGTTTCTTATGGATGTACAAAGAACTGCATTTAAACATTGCTTTTGCAGACAGATTGGTGAGCAAAATGCTACCAATGCAGGGCAGTTTGTCTAATATTCTAACAGTTCTCTTAATTTGCCCACCTTAAAATCTCATCAGAGTATGAAAATAGGAAACTGGGGAGACTGGGTAAGCCCAGGAAAAGTCCAGCCTGGGTGCTAATTGGTATAAATGAAAGTAGAAGTATCTGCAAGACAGCACAGCATAAAAATGAGATTAATTTTCTATCATCTTGCACCAACCTGAGCCTGTAAGGACCACAGCACTCCTGGTTGCTTTCCAGACCCATGCTCATGCAGGTGTACCTGGAGCACTACTAGTCTCTGCTCTGTGACATGTGGATCTGTGGAGGAACCAGGCTTCATCTTTTCAGAGCCTGGAATGGAATTATGAATTCTGGCTGGTTAATTAATTTTAATTATTATTGTTGTTTTTTAAAGCCAGATATGGGAAAGAAGGATCAACAGTTCTGCTCCTGTTTAGGACTTCGTCTCTTGAAGTAGAAGCACTAGGAGAAGTTTGTAATTTGTTCCAACTTTGAGAATGAGTAATACTGAGATTCTTATTGCCAACGAGTCCAAAAGAAGAGCTGGCATTTGATACATATATTATTACATACATTATTACATGCAAGCGTATATTATTTTGCATTTGTGCTGAATGTGCACACTGCTAATTATATTTATTTAGTTAAATTATGAAGTTAAGGAGCAACTTCTTGGGAATTTACAAGACATTTATTTCCCCTCATGCGTCTTGTTTCCATGTGTAATAAGTATTGCTGTATATTTTAATTGCATTTCAAATTAAGATAAAGAGGAAAAAGTAGCAAGTGCCATACATAGCAAATAACTTTCTGGCTTAATAAACACACAAGCAGTATTGTCATATGTAATTTCACAGTTCTCTAAGAAAACATTAAAAAAAGTCCAACATTGTTCTGCATCTATTAGGTCGTCCAACTAAAATTCTTACAAAAGGGATGGAAAGCAGGAATTATACTGTTTTTTGCAGCTTTGGGCTAGACAAAAAATCACAAGCATTCAACATATTAAGAGATGCCATCATAAAACCAAAAATGCTCACTTTATTGATATGCTTCTTTCTTGGTGACTGATGTTGGATGTTTCATAAAAGGTATGTAGCATTCACAACGCGTTTGGGTTTCTCTAAATTGTGCATATTGCATCACAGTCATGTAATGATTCCAGATTAGTTTGTGACCCATGGCCTATCAGAATTCCAAATATTTTCCTTTCTGTGTATGTATGTAGCTAAATGTGAAAATGTGATTTTTCTGTTTTCCACGGTGGCCGCCTACAGCAACTAGTTCACTTCTGGAGTCACTTTTGGTTATTGAAGCCCAGCTGATTCTTCTCACAACTGTCTTACTGTAGGAAAAGAATGGGCGTTGCTTTTCCTCTTGTATTTTTTCTTTCAGATAATCTCTTTTCTCCCAAGAGCCAGTATAGTTCATGTCCAGTCATCTTTTCTTTTATCTTATGGACAAGGAAAGATTTTGAAGTTTTTCTGTCACTTAAAGATGCGCTGTAGAAAGAACTGCTCATAAAGCCAGCTAGCATTAGGACTCTGTGCATTTGCAAGCATTCTGAAGATTTCTTGCTCAGGAGAACAATATGAGCTGCATCACAGGTTTGCTTTGTATGTGGGCAGTCTGGAATCATAGGATTTGAGCTTTCCAACACCAGCAACCCATCAGAAAATGATTAGGTCTGACAGAGATGTAGCTGCAACAGCAGAAAGTTCTTCATGGATTGTAAAATCTGTCCGAGACCTTCATTCAGCCTGTGAGGCTGAGCATTTGCTGGCTCAGCTGGATAAACAGTCATTTTGTTGCAATGATTTTTTTTCCTTGCTTTGTGTTGCAATATGCAATAATCTCAGAATTTCTGGTTTCTGCTCTGAGGCTCAGTG